GTACCCTAAGAGTGGCATGTGCGAGTGTGTCGAGTTTCAGTTTATGTTATCTTTGTACATGTTATGGTGAGCTACGATTGATTTTATTTTAAGGATAAGTCTTGTCATGCATAGCCTAATTAACATACATCTAGCAATTAATAGTTGCGGAAAATAAAACTACGCTATTACAAGGCGTCGGGTATTTACATCGCCAAAAACAAACCCTTTAATTTAAATTGCGGAAAGTAAAATAAAGCAATAAATAAATAAAGTCCTAATTAAAGTTATTACATTCCGGAAGCAAGTACAATAATATGGAAAAATGGATCGCGTGCGGGAAATTAAATCGGATGCGAGTTTTTTGGGGTTTTGACCCTTTTTTGAAAGAAAGTGATTTTTTTGGTTATTTTTGAATTAAATGGAATTAAATTAAATGAACAATTAAATTAAATTAAATAATGAAAATATTTTTGGATTTTTGAGTTTTTAAAGAAATAAAATAAATTGAATTAATGCTAATAAAAACCTAATATTCTAAATTGATTTTAAATATTGCAAAAAATATTAAAAGTTAAATCTAATTAAAACTAAATTGATAAAATTAATTTATTTACAAAAATAAAAGTGATGAAGTTAATTTTAATAAATAAAATATTTTTTGTGTTTTTGATTTTATTAGGAAAAAATGTCAATTGGTTAGTGATTAATAAAAAGAATAACGATTAATTAATTAAAGGAAAATAATAAAAATAGAGAGAGAGTTTAGGAGTATACGGGCCTGATTGGAGGGGTGAAACAACTGTTGGCGTCATGTGTAAACTGTTTTGTTTTGCCCATTTGTGTTTTGGCTTTTGGCCATTTGTGTTCTGGCCTCAACGTTCCTTAACCTTCTCAGGATGTCTGTCTCGCCATGTATTGGTGTCATGTGTAAGTTGTTCTGTTTTGGCCATTTGGCTTTTAGCTTTTGGCCATTTGTGTTTTGGCCTCAACGTTCCTTAATGAACCTGCATGGGATCCTGTCTAAATCTGCAGTGTTGAATCTCATGAACACATTAAAAAATTACTATATATCATAAAATACAAATAAAGTCAATATATGAAGAAATTTAATGTTTAGGTCAATATGGCATGTATGAATGATTATACTCTTTTGATCATGGAGATCAAATCAATCTTACTCTTACTGGAAAAGTAGTGACATGAATGCTTTTATGCCCTTTTGATCATGGAGATCAAACCAGTCTTACCCTTACTGAAGAAGTAGTGAGATGTTGGTTTGTAACTGAGATGGCTTGTTTGTAGTGAGATGTTGGTTTGTAACTAGGATGACTTGTTTGTAGTGAGAGAGGGATTTGTAATAAGGATTTCAAGGTTTTAGGGTTCTTGAAAGAATTTGATATTCTGACAGCGTTGTGGCAAGGTTTTTTTTTCTCCTCTTTGTTTGTGTGAAAAGAATGTGATTATATAATGGAAATTAGGGTAAAGAAGACGGGCTTTGAATGTGCAATTGAGCCTCCAATGTTCACTTGAGTTCGTCACTTTCCAGGCTAAATCGCAGGGACTTAAGTGCAATTTTTGAAGTTGAAATGTGAAAACAAAATGTAGCAGATATCGAGAACTAACTCCTGTCCGAAAATCGGCTTAATCGGATAAACGGTGAATTAGTTATGAATTTTTGAAGTTTCAGCTCAGACAAACTTATTTTGGGCTCCAGTGTCGACTATGACACGTTCTTCAATAAAAAACTGGTATTGATCGAAGCATAATCCGGTCTCGACTTTTGAAGAAAAGTTGTAGATCTCTGAGTCAGTGACCTTGTGTAAAAATATGAGCCCAATCCGATAAAATTTGACCGAGTTATGAATTTTCGAAGTTTCGGCCCAGATGAAATATTATTCAGCATTCAGGATTTTCGGCGCGTCACGCACTATGAGCAAAAAACAAAGGCCTTTTGAATGCCATTTGAACTCAATACCTTCTGTGAAAATGTAGCCAACTCAATTTGTGAAATTTTGGCACCAGAACCAGCTCGATACAATGAAAATCGACCAAGTTATGATTTTCTGAACATGACGCAAATAAACTTCTATCACAAATTTTCTGTACGAAAATACTTGATAAATTCACATTTTTGAAGATTTTCTGATTGAAATTGGCTTCCAGCCGTGAGAGATGAAAACATAGATGACGTCAAGACGGAATTTTGGCCACCGGAACGGGTTCAAAACGAGCCACGATCTTCAAGTTATGAATTCTTTAGCGCGTAAAAACTGCACTTTCAGCACACTTTTTTCACCATATTTCTTCGAGAAAACTCACACATTCGGATACCTTCTTTAAAGAATTGACTCTTGAGCCGAACCTGAATTTGAGAATACGTTATCAGAGATATCTTGGCGAAAGAACACCTGAATATGACGCGCCGGGTTGGACTTGTGAATTTTTCTTGAAATGTTTTGAGAAATATGGGAGGGCAAATTTTGGGGTACAACACCATCCCCTGGGTAACTTAGTTTGTAAAACATATTCAGATAAAGGGGAAGTATAATTTGGCCTACTAAGGCCTATATTTATTCCAATTCACGCCATTATCCTTTCGACCATAGCTTCCAAATTATTTTCTCCTGCAAATTCGTCTTGTCAAACACGATGGATGACTTCATCTGCATCATGGTTTTGATTAACCATCACTACTCGTGGGGCTTCTACCTCCATTGTGTTGTGCCGCAAAAAAGCACAGAGTTGCCACCAAACTTTATTTATCCAGAAGGAAGGGAAGATATCGAGAGAATCCAAAAGAAATGGATAAGAGGGTCTTGCGACCAATAGAAAGGGTACGAAGTCGGTTACACAAGGGGAAGGTATTAGCACCACACGCGTCTGTAGTACTCCACATGATCTACTTAAGTTTTCTCTAATCTAAGGGTATGTAAAAATCTATGTCTAAAGCTTAATGCTAAGAGGGAATGCATGTGAAAGAAATTATAGGGTAAAGAAGTAATATTTACAAAGTTTTGCTCGCCCAGGCCCCGAGATCTAATGCCTACGTATCCCTTTCGAGGAATCAAAGCGTCATAGTTCGGCTCACGTGTTTTAGTTTGTTGTATGTTTTTTTACCTTGAAAAATTGTTTTTTATATTATTAGAGTGTTTTGAAGTTGAAAGAAAGAAAAAAAGAAGTTTTAGTCTTAATGCAAATGCAAAAGAGAAATAAAAAGGTCTAAGGGAGAATAACAAAGTAAGCCTAGAGTTGTCATGCAAAGTTGTTCCTATAGTTGAGGATAAAAGGGAAATCTACCTAGTATTGACATGCATGGTTTGAAACCTAAGGTCTATCTAAATTCGCTTCCTAAGATTGAATCGAGAATTCCTACGGGAGCATGTAAACGTGCAATGGAAAGTAAACACACAGAGCTTGAGGAGTATCCACTCACTCAAGTAACACACGCCTAATTGAGGTATCATGTCACCAAAGAAGGAAAGGGAGAGGGATCACGCCTAACCATGATATTGTGTCATCGAGGTAGGACAAGGGACAAGGGGCACATAACCATGATATTTAATCATCAAGATAGGATAAAGGGAGGCTTAACCAAGATATCAAATCATCGAGGCAAGCAAGAATAGAGGAATAAGTGGTTTTTAACCATGATAGCACGCCATCGTGGCAAGAAGAATAAGGGGCGCCGACTCTTAACTAAGATATCACATTATCTGGGTAAGAGAAGAACGAGAGTGAATCGTCATAAGCGACTAAACACCTAACCAAGATATCATATCATCGATGTAGGCGATAGAAGGCAATAATGAGATCACATCGGAGCGTCAACATGCACGGCACCCGAGCTAATGATAAAACGTGGGAAATTGGTTACAGATCCCTGTATTCCACTTGACTAACTCGATAACAAGAATAACACGATTCGTAGAATCGACGTACGACATGAGCTACGAATGATCTATGGACTAGAATTTGTGGGGGTCAATTGCAGACCCTTTTCAACTTGCCTTCTTTGAGGACTTATCAATGAGGAATGGGAATGAGACACCTTCATCGAGGTCTTTGGCACAAATCTAAATACACATAATGGTAAAACAAACAAGCATAAGTAGGAATTTCCTTCTAAAGTTCTTTTAAATTAGCATTGCCCACCTAAAGTAGGGACTCCCAATCATGCTTCTCTAGTCCTACTTTTCATGGCAAAGAAAGCAAAAAATACAATGTAGAAATTAAACCAGAATCAGAAAGTACCAAACAAATATTAATCTGTGGCAAAGCGATAAAAATCCAAGAAACCCAGAATACTCCGTGCAAGCTTCACCAAGAAACAGAGAAAAGAAGTCAGAAATCAAATGCTCGGAATAAGCGTCAAAGCATCATCGATGTGAAAATAAATCATAAGCGAAAGGTGCATCAAGCATATCCGAATATTACACAATAAATCTGTATAAGACTCAAACTTCGACAAGCAAAAGTGAATCACAAATCTCAAGTAATCGAGTAATCATGAATTAATTCCTAAAATTAGATAAAAAATCTAACAAATTTTATTGATTTTGTAACTTTTTATCACAAAAAGATCAAAAAAATTAAATCTAAATCTAACAAAAAAAAGGATGATCAGGGGGGTGAGCCGCAATCAGGTGGTGTGGCAGAGTCTGAGCATTAAGCCCAAATAACAAGCCAAGAATGAGTTTTTTCAATAGTTGTTATTATTCAATTTTCAGTCCTTTACAAGAAAGCATGGGCTTGAAGGAAAGATGGCAAGCGAAGCCGAAGGGATTTTGTGTTCAGCCTTAGCGTGCCAAAATCAGAAGTGGTCGGGCTTCAATAAAAACGCATGAAGCTAGGCCCAATGTTTCTTATTCAGTCATCAACAACACTAAATCATCCAATTATTAATCATCTTCATATTTTTAGCATATTTCTCAATTAACCATCAAAATTATTAAAAATAAAATAAAATAATGGAATCAGGAAACAAAAACGCGGTCATTTGATATAGTGTGCAGAGAACGATGAAGGTAACGAATCCTGTGAAGTTTTTGTTGATGTTGCAGAGTTGTTGCGAAGAAGTAGATTGGAGTTGCTGCGATTTTGATGATGAAGAATTGAAGAACGATTATGGTGATAGAGGATGAAGGTTGTGGTATAAAGAATGTTGAAGAGTGCAGAGAGATGAGAGAGTTTTTTCTGAGTTTTGGTGTGATTCTCCAAAAATGATTGAAGAATGATAAATATGAAGATGAGAGGAGAAGAGAGAGTTTGTTGAAGATTAGGGTAATTCTCCCAAAAGAATGGAGAATGAATGAATTAAGGTGAGTTTCTATTTTTATCTTTCTGTTAGATCTAGAAAAGTTAGTTAGATGAAATAAGATCTCAGCCCTTGGATTAATAAAATCTGTTATAGGATTGAAGGGTTTAGATTAAGGGTTGGTTAGGCAGTTATAAGTGGTTATTGAAGTTAGTTACAGTTGAGAATTTTTGAAACTGAAAGTTAGTTATGTGAACTTAAAATAAGCTGGCATTATTTGTTAGTTTGTAATTCTGTTTCTGATTCCATTTTTGATTCTCGCGGTTCTCTCTTTTCCTCCTTGCATTTCTGATTTCAATCTAAACCGATGCACCGTGTTTCAATTAGTTTGGATTGGTGATGTTAACGAATGTGGGGTAATTTGTTTTTGGTTTAGAATGCAAGGAAGGGCATATTATTTTATTTGAATTAATTTTTTGCTGACTTTCTACTGACTTTTTGCTTATTTTTTGCTTATTTCTGGTTAAACTTTGAGATAATGATACCTTTATGAACTTGTAACAACTTGTTCCTTCTACTGCCATATGCATGTTCTGATGGATGTCGTAGGTTGGATGATGATTGGCTTGATACAAATGTGCGATTAATGTGAGCTTCTCCTAGACTAGTTTATGTAGGTTAATAAACAACATTGGCAACGTTTGGTATGGTTCTATTTTGGATTGGACTTTTACGCTATGAACTGATCTGATGATAGTATGCATGTTTATTTGGATTGTTGTGGACTGGTTCGATTATGGTGCAGGATGGGTTATGCACAAACGGATTAAGGGCTAGAATACATGTTTCAATCTTTTATGTTTTTTCCTGCTAGGTTCAATTAAAAAGATGGTTGAGTTACATATTAGTTGCTGTTAGAAATGAATGTCAATGAAAACTAAAGGCTTTTTTGAGTTCACACCATGACTGGGCTGTTTTGTATTTATGAACTAATGCGTAAAACTGAATGTGAATGTATGGATAGCATGAACTGTTAGGCTTATGATGCCTTGAACTGATGTATAACTTATCTAGCTTGCTTTGGTTAATGAAATTCTGTCAAAAAATGTAGTTGGCGGAAGCATGATATCCCTTGATTATATGCTTTATCCATGTTTAATGCAGGTTTGAAGCAAGCAAGAACAAGTCCATTTGGTGGCTATTTAAAGGATTGGACATGGTTTTGAGCACAATGTTGCACAAGGATTAGAGCACATGGAGCTTAGAGCTTGAGGAAGATTGAAGAGACTTGGCAATAAGGATGAAAGTCGTGAACACATAGGCCTAGAAATGTACTTTTATGAGTGACTTTCATGTATGGATTGAAATGATGTTGATGGAAAAATGGAATGTGAAATGTTACTTGGATTTTTAATGGATGCCTTATTTAGAAACCTTTGAGCCAATGACTAATTCTCAAACATTCAAAGTGCTCTTCTAAATCAATTTTGAAGTTTTAAATTCTTTCTTTCTCTTTTTACTACAACTTGTTAGATCTTGTAATGCCTTGAATAGACCTTGCGGTCATGATGAATTCATCAATGTGTTTGTAAAACCAATCAAAATAACTTTGAAGTAAGAACTCCGACCATGCTTATTATCCTCTTGTTTATCATGTTTTAGGCACTCCCAAGTAATTGAAGAAAGATCCAATTCTAACTTCAATTACAATTGTTCTTCTTTGAGCTTAGAAATTCAAATTGTCCAGTCAATTCCCCAAATATTCTTTTGAAATCAAACCCATGATAAAAAAATCCAATCATAAGTAATAAGAATGGAATCCTAATGAGTGAACACAACAAATGGTCACCAAGTCAAGAAATGACCCACACAATGCATGATAAGGCCTCACTCCCGGAGAATCATCTGACCGCCACATGTGTAGGGAAGTAAACCCTAACTGAATGAATTAGCATAGGAGGTAATTTGCATCACAAGTGAAATATTACGATGAAATTTATTGTACCAAGTGTCCACAACCTTAGCTTTTGAAAAGAATCTGAATGAATATCCTCGTATGAAAGTTTTGGCCATAAGTCTTGAGATTTAAGAAATAATTAACTAGAGAAGCGACATTGAATCAAACCCCTAATGTGCCATGAATAAACCATGATCTCTTTAATAACTTGCACTTTAAACAATAGTTGAACCCCTTTCAAATGACAACGTCTACTGATGATAAGCTCCACAAAGACATCTCTTGAAGACTATATGATTAGGGAAATAAAACCTAAGCCATGTTGGGATGATAGACACAAGAAGATAATGAATGCCCTAGGTCATGGCCTCTTGGATGAATCGTTGGATGATGCATTAACAAAGTTCAAGCACATTGGATAAGAAACCTTGATTCTTGCTTTGGACACACATTGATAATGAAAGTAGCTTGAGGCGATGGAGGGAACTAAAACCCTAATTGCTGAAGCATAAAAAGTTAAAACCCTAGCATCTTGATCTGATCATTGAAGAAACAAATTAAATCCTTTGAATGAAGATAAGAGCCTAAAATCCATAAAGAAACCCTAATTCTTCAATACACTTGATCCCATTCTAAATTTATTGATTAATGATGCATTATGAACTAATGGAAAGGTATGCACATGATGATTATGAGATGCATAAGCCAAATAGTTTTATTGAGGGTAGGACAAATTTGGGGTATGACAACTGACCCTATTTAATTTTATTAAACCTGAAAGTGAGATTGGAACTAGCCTTTCAACATTCAAGGTAGAAGAAGATTAAATACCAAGACCTGAAATTTGTCCCGAAATGAAAGTGCAAGCGAGTTATTTTTCTTTTGCGATATCTGTTGGGGAAAGAAAATTTTGTTTTTCTGGTGAAAGGGTTATAGGGGAATAAGTGCGATTGGGTGGTGATAGCTTGTAACGTGATAACGGTGCCAATACGATGTTCTCAAGGAGATGGTTGTTATATGAAACAATGATTGAAAGTATGGGTAAGATTGACGAAAGATGAGATCGATGATAACACAAACACATATCATGCGAGGTCATGAGATTGACAAAGGGTAAGGTTGATGACAGAGCAAGATCATATCATGTTGGGCCTATAACCAAAGAAGGAATAACTGGTAAGATCAATGATAGTGCAAACACTACTCATGTAGGATTTACGACCAAGGGAAGAGAGAAGGTAAGATCAATTACAACGCGACCTATGACCAAGGAAAGAATTCCAAATGAGGACTCTCTAGAAGACGAGAACTAGGTTTAGACCAAATTCTAGAGGAGAACTGGGTATCAAACGAGAACTGTCTACCAGACGAGAATTGGGAAATGATCAAATGTCAGATGAGAACTGACTACCAGGCGAGAACTAGACTTAGAATTGATTGTTAGACAAGAACCGATTAGCAGACGAGAATTGGACTTATAATTGATTGTCAGTTGAGAACTAATTACCATATGAGAACTGCACTTTGAAATGGTTGGCCAGTGTGAGAACTAGAATTTAAATTAACTGTCAGACGAGAACTGACTACCAAACGAGAACTGGACTACCGGACAAGAACTAGGCTTAGAATTGATTGCCAGACAAGAACTGACTAGCAGACGGGAACTGGAATTTGAATTGATTATTAGACGAGAACTGACCACCAGACTAGAACTAGACTTTGGATTGATTGTCAGATGAGAACTGACTACCAGACGAGTACTGGACTTTGGATTGATTATCGGACGAGAAATGACTACCAGACGAGAACTGGGCACATATGACAAAGTGTATTGATTTTGTTGGGGATTTAGGAGTACAAGTGTTGTACCCCAAAATTTTCTCTCTCACTTATCAAGAATTTGCTCACAAAATCTCCTTGGGCTCAAGACTGCACTAGAGTTTGATCAGCTCAAGACACCTCCTTAGGCACTGATGACCAAAATTAGGGTTTGATTTTGCACAAGGATTTTTGAATTATCAAAGCTTCATATGAATTTCATGGACCATTGTGGACCCTCAAGATTAATCATGTCAATATTCAAGTCTTGGATCACACTTTTAATCAGTCAATTGAACAGTTGACCTAAAAATCAGTTGTATTGGGAAAAAGTTAACCATGGCCAATTTACAGTCAAAATTCATAATTTTTTATTCACATCAACATTTTAAACTCATGTGTATCATTTCATCAAGTTTGGACCACAACTCTTCAAGAAATTTGATCAAATCTCAAAAAGGGCAAAATGGTCAAAATTAGGGTTTTGACTGGGAAAGGGAAATTTCTGATTTTTTACCTAGAAAATGATCAGTTGATTTTTTGACAGATGAATTTTGCAGTCAACTGATCAAAAGTCGACTGTATACTGAAAAGTCAAACTTTGACTTTTTGGTCAAATTCAAGTACCAAAGATCACAATTCATCAAAACATGAAACTTGTTCATCAAGAAATCAAGAATTCAAGATTTCATCTTGAAATGTTAAAATTTCTTAACTTAGAAATTTTTCTAAGTATGAAAATTTTCTTATTTTTTTCATAACTTCAAGCCAAATTTTCACCATGATGCAAGATGATTCAAAAGAAACTTACAAAATTAAAGTTGTATATCTCCATGAAATCTACAACTTTTCTTCACACAACTTCTCATAAAAGTGCTTGTATCTCAAGTTATAATTTTATGAATACATGCTCATGAACTAAAAAAGACAGTGAAATTTTGCCCTAGTTAGACATATTTTTGACCTAACTTCATGGAAATTTTTCACATAGTTCTAAGGGGAATATTCAAAAGAAATTCAAAGATGAGTTGAAGAGCACATTGCAAGATTTCCAAAATGTCCAAGAACTCCTTGAGATCATTCTTGAGTAGGGAGAATCAAAAAGATGAAGTTGGTGTTTTGTCACTTGAGTTATAAGTCATTTTCATGATGAACACAATTGCAAATCAATGTTAGGTTGCATAATCTTTGCTTTGCAGGCCTCAAACTTGTTTGTCACTCCATAATTAATGGATTACACAAACTTTTGAGCTATAATCCAAGTGATTTAAGCTTTATCCAATTCACATTGTCATTTTGGGAAGAAAGTTAACAATACCAGTCTTGAAAAGCAAGCTTTATGCATAAAGTCCACTCTTGAGCCTCTAACTTGTTCCCTCTGATCACACTTCATCTACAAAGTCAGAAGCAAGTGTGTTTAAAGCATAACCATTCTATCTTAGCAAGTGCACACGACATTGAAACTTGTTTTTTCAAAAATCACATGTTATGCATAAACATGTAATTTCAAATTCTGATCAACAACAAGTCTCCAAACTTGTTGCTTATAAATAGAAGCACTATTTGTGAGCTAGAACACGAGCTGGAAGACCCTAAAACTCACTCAAACTCCCTTTATCTAGAAATTGTATCAAAACACCATTGTTGTGCAAGTTCTGACTTTACACACCAAACTTCAGACCCCCTCGTGCGTTCTTTGGCCTTTCACTTCCAAAAGCTTCTAAACATCAAATATAAACCATCCAAAGTCCATTTGTTCAACTGTAACACCTCCACCATCAAGTTCCATTTTCAAAAACAGGGGCATGCAACTTGACTTCTCCAGAGCTCCTCAGCCACTTTCAGCTCAAGCTAATCATTGCATTAGCTTCATGGGACCTCAAGGAAGCTAACCTAATCCTTGCAGCACTTTGAATCAAGCTCATTTGCATTTCACGATTTTCAGTTTTGAGGTATTTTTCTTGAACTTCTATCTCATTACTTAGGCATTGTTAGGCTTGTATTTATGAAGATAAAATGTAGACCTTATTGCCACGAAGCTGTACATATCCATAGTTTGCATTTACATGGCTTGAGCTTAGAGAATTTTAGAGTTGAAGTTTCTGAAATTTTTAGGGTTCAAATTAGGGCCAAAGAAATTCTCATTTATCTTTGACTTTTAGCTTTAGTTATTTACATGGTTAGATTCGTGAGGAAGAATGCAACAACTTTCATTTTGTCATCTTCCATTTTTGTTGAGAAATGAAGAAGTTACATGTACACCGGCTGGAAGTTGAAGATGAAGTCATCAGGACTTAATTTGCCTTAGATATTTATGGTTTTGTTTATATAAACGGATGTATAGCCACCCTAGTGGTAAAGCGCGCGTCTGTTAACCTATGGGACCTGGGTTCGAGCCCCAGTGGTACCCATTTTGTGTTTTTACATGTTTTTTTTTTTGCATTTTCTGACATTTTTTGAAGGGCACCTGGGTC